ATACAATATACCTTTAAACCCATCAAAAATAGTGTACTGTTATTAAATTCCTTTACAAAGTGGCTGGGAGGGAGAAAAAACCTCTGGTGAATCTCTCTCTAGATAAGATCCCTGCAAGGGAAATGCTTCTGGGGAATGCCTTTGTAGACAAAAAACAGAACTAAAGCGCTCCTGGAGGAAATACTTCAAAGGACTATTATTTCCTTAGCCACACACTCACAAGCTTTTATCTCTCCCTGAGCACCTAAAGAAAGGCTTTTATAACTGCAAGCAAAGTCCAAACAGCCCACAGGTGAACAAAGACTTCCCTATTAGTCTATCTCAATTAGGCCCAACAATAGCCCTTATAAAATTGAACTCAGCTGTTCTCTTCATTTCTCCGCTTGTAGGTGGCTACACATAGCCGGGAAGAATTGTGTCTGGCTGATCCCTCTGCTCCTGCTTGATCCTGCCCACTTTCTGGCTGGCTGAGGAGGGGCCTGTGGTCCTTCCCCCCTTCTTCCCTGTCCTCTAGAAGCTCAGCTGGATGCCTCCTGTTTTTTACAGTCATGGGGGAGACACAGGCTCTATTTCAGCTGTTGTCTTAAGGGAACAGAGCTTATTCCTGGAAGGGAGATGTTTAAATACTTGCAACCCCAGTGAATTGTGTATGGAACATATATCAGTAAAACGGAACAATTTGCGTGGACTCTTGTGAGAATTCAAACACGCATACAGAGCAAGGAAGAAATGTATGGGCGAAGGCTGGAGGTGTAATACCTACAATGTTAATTGTAACTTAATGAGAGTCCAAATCTAATTGAGGAAGATTGCAGAATAATAAGAATTTAAAGATCCAGCAATTCCCCCTTTCTCCACCTCAGAATATGGCTTCGTTCTGCTCATAAATGGCAAAAAACATGAGCTCTACAAAGCATATTTGATGGTAAAATATGGTACAAATGCTCACATATCTTTTTATCTCAATACTTATATGACCCCTATCATGGTACTACCTGAGTGCAAGAAAAGCTCATTAGAGGACCCAAGTTTGCAATTTGTTATGAGAATCTCATTAAATGATTCAAATTTGCACTGTGTAATAAATTAAACAAAAATGTCACATTTTCAGAAGAGTGGGTCAAATTCTGCTCTCACTTTCACTGATGTAACAGACCAGATTTGGCCAAGTATGTTTCAGTTGGAGATATGGATTTGCTAAAGCAAAAAATCCTTATTAAAAGTAGGGGCTTTTTTTTTTTTGCTATCTTTTATACGAGTGTAAATTCTGTTGACTTCAAAAGAATATTCCTGATTCATTCTAGTGAAAGGAGAATCAGGTCCTAGGCCATCTTTCTGTTTCTCAGTGGAGTGGAAGTAGCATTTACAGCAGTCTACCTTGAATTCTTCAATAAAAAAGTATTTAATCCAATCTGTCTTTTTTACCAGATTTATACACCACAGTACACAATGTTCACAAAGGTCAAAAAGTGAATACATCAGACAATATGTGTTCCCCTGACTGTGGAGATAGTTGTCTGTCTTTTGAAAAGCTTTACTCAGACTCAAGCTAGGTCTCCAATAGAGCAGGGGGTCTTAACCTTTTTCTTTCTGAGATGCCCCTCAACATGCAATAAAAACTCCAGGGCCCAGCGGGCAAAGAGGGAGACTCAGGGCTTTGGGCCGGGGGGGGGCCCTCGGGCATAGGCATAGTTTCAACTTCTATTTTGGGGGGCAGGGGCTGGCAGGGGCTTGGGTCAGCTCCACATGGCAGGGTCCAGGAAGGCAGCACCACCTCCACCTACTGACTCACCTCAGCAGACCACCCAGCCTGTCCGGTTTGTGTGTGGTGGGGGTTCAGCTCAAAAAGTTTGAAAACTGCTCAGGGTACAGGGAGGAGGTAGCTAGGGGCTGAGTGTGGGCAGGGGGGGTAGCTCAGGGTGCAGGCAGGGAATTGCTAGGGGCTGTGTGTGGGCAAAGGGGTAGCTCAGGGTGCGGGGAGGGGGGTAGCTAGGGGCTGTGTGTGGAAACGGGGGTAGCTCAGGGTGCGGGGAGGGGGTAGCTAGGGGCTGTGTGTGGGTAAAGGGGTAGCTCAGGGTGCAGGCAGGGGGTAGCTAGGACTGTGTGCGGAAACGGGGGTAGCTCAGGGTGCAGGGAGGGGGGTAGCTAGGGGCTGTGTGTGGGCAAAGGGGTAGCTCAGGGTGCAGGGAGGGGGTAGCTAGGGGCTGTGTGCGGAAACGGGGTAGCTCAGGGTGCGGGGAGGGGGGTAGCTAGGGGCTGTGTGTGGGCAAAGGGATAGCTCAGGGTGCAGGCAGGGGGTAGCTAAGGGCTGTGCGTCAGGAGGTCACTGTGGTCATTGCTTCCCAAGGGCTCTGCTGTCCACAGAGCCGTGTCCCCCTGCCTGTGCAGCTCTTACTGTCTGCGTGAGCTGAGGAGCAGCCTCAACCCCGGGGCACAAGCAGTAGGAGACGGAATGCCGCGGCTGCCCACTCCATGGCACCAGCCAGAGCAGCAGCTCCCCACATTGCCCGACTCTGGCTTCCCGCCTCCAATCTGGCCAAGGGGCGGGGCCTCGGGGACGGGGAGAGGAGGAAGTTGGGGGGGGGTCATTATTCATAGAATCATAGAATATCAGGGTTGGAAGGGACCTCAGGAGGTCATCGAGTCCAACCCCCTGCTCAAAGCAGGACCCATCCCCAACTAAATCGTCCCAGCCAGGGCTTTGTCAAACCAGGCCTTAAAAACCTCTAAGGAAGGAGATTCCATCACCTCCCTAGGTAACTCATTCCAGTGCTTCACCACCCTCCTAGTGAAATAGTGTTTCCTAATATCCAACCTAAACCTCCCCCACTGCAACTTGAGACCATGTGGAGCTGGCCTTGGGACTGCTCTGCTCCGGCACTGTGGGGAGGGGCAGCAACTACAGTGCCAGAGCAGAGCAGAGAGGGGTTCAGTTCCGTGGCTCCTGGCTTCAGCTGTGCAGTGGAGGGGGGCCCAGGCTCGGTCTCTGGGTTCCAGCCGCGGATCCCTGGTTGAGAACACTGCAAGAGAGCTCCTGGTTGAGTCATTTGAGGGACTACTATGCAATCATGGTAACAAGACATCATGGAGAGTAGGCTCAGTCACACATATACTACAACCTTAGCAATTTTCATTACTTTTGCTTTAAATTACACACAATATTATACTTCTATCTTTTATGGGAATTTTAAAACAATTTTTTTACCAGTACGTTTCAAATCTCAAATTAGTGTTTTTTGTTATTAAAAAGAGAGGTAGAGAGAGGGGCAGGAAATGAATACAATGGAAATAGACACATGCAACTCAACAGATTTAGAATTTTAAGAATCAAACTATAGAGGTAGGATAAAATTTTCAAAAGTGCCTAAGTGACTTAGGAACCTAAGTCCCATTTTCAAACGTGTTTCAGGCACTGAAGCCCAGATTTTAAAAGGTATTTAGTCTGTAATAATGCAGATAGGCACTTTTAATGGTACGTAGGCATTGCTCCACTCAGTGTTGCAAGGCCTAAGTGACTTAGAAGGTGAAGTCCTATTTTTGAAAGTGACTTAGATGCCTACTGAGATTTTAAAAAGCATTTTAAAAAGCATGAGCGTCTCCTAAATCCCAATGACTTTCAATGCAAAGTAAACTCCTAAGTGTCTAAGTCACTTTTGAAAATGGGACTTCACAGTCTAAGTCACTTAGAATCATAGAAGTGTAGTACTGGAAGGGATCTCAGGAGGTCATCTAGTCCAGTCCCCTGCACTCAAGTCCTTGCAATGCCTACATACTGTTAACAATTTGAGCCCTAGTGAGATTTCAGAAGTGCATAGGTGCTTAACTCCCATCAGTGGGAGGTTGGGAAACTAAGTGCTTTTAAAATCCCATTAGGTGCCTATCTGCATCTTATGGTGACTAAATATATTCAAAAATCCTGCTCTAAGTCATTTCTGAAAACAGTACTTACACTTCTAAGTCATTTAGATGCTTTTGAAAATTTTACCCCTAATGCTGCAGACTTTACGTATTCAAATTTGCCATGAATTTCAATGGGAGTTTTGAATGAGTTTGCAGGGTCATGTCTTAAATTATAACAAAGGACATGACATGTTTCAGTGGACTGAAAATACATGTTTTGACATATTATTACATATAGATAGTTCTAGAAACAATCTCATCAAAAAAAAATCTTTTTATCCTCAGAATAGGTAATCCTGTTACATTCACCCATTCATTTATTCTGTAACCTTTAGCCTGTCACAAGTACTTTGCAACTCCCTGATTCAATCCAACAATCGACCATGGGCTGAGTTATGGTCGTCCAGCGATCTTAAGCTGGCAGCTGCTTGCTCCTGCCAACAGTGAGTTTTCTTGCCTGTCTCCTATGCGTGATACTGACTCCGTTCTAACTTTTTCTCCAACTCCTGTCCCTTTTGGAAAAGTACTAATCGCTCCTACAAAATCTCCTAAAAATCAGGCAACATTTCTCTATGCCCTGGTATTTAGTTGAGAAACAGTTTATTCTTTGTAACATTTGTATCGGTCTTCTTGTTTTTTATTTTAGTATTCTCTAGTAAAATAAGATCACAAATGTGAAAATTTTTTATGCCCTTTAAAAAATAATTCCCTGTACAGTTTAAAAAGCTGTAGGAAAATCTCAGCTAATCTTCTGTTTTCTTAGAAAGAATTGTGTTTACTGAAAACTGTAGCAAATTGCAAGAGGCTAGATATAAAAGTCCCTGAGAAAAATCACATGGTGAACAGAACTGAGTGTTGGGCCCACAAGCTGACCTTTCTTGCATTGTATAATGAAAAAAAGTGATCTGTGAGAGTGGGTTTGAGATAAGATCAAAATGATGTAATGGTAATTACATCAAGTAATGTTCAGTCATTAGGAAGAATGCACAGTTGATCCTATGGCTTATATGTAGGCGGGAGAGTGCAATCTAACTTTAATGGTATAAAAGAAAGGTACAATTTTTCTTACCACAGTGACAGAAAGGTACATATAAGCTTCAGGGACACCACACAGAAACTAAAACCATCCTTCAGATTCTACATCAACTACTCTGACCGCACTGAACACATTGAAATAAGGTAATTCTTTTCCCATTGCTATGGACGAGGAAAAGTTGATATATTTTTCTAGATATTCGCTTTTTACTCAACGTTCTCATCGGTGACGATTAACCTAAAATGTTGGGTCAGTTCTGAGGCTTCTGTCTCTTAGGATTGTACCAATACAAATGAGAAGAGAACTTGGTCCCAGAACTTTATTCAGCTCTTGGGTCTGAACTCTGATATGTTATCAGGAAAAGAAATGGTGAGCTAATTTTTGGGAGAATTGGAAGGTAAACTGTAGTTTTGGGAAAGGGGGTGGGCGTACAAACTGGCAGCTTACAGTGCTACTGTATTCAGTCATTGTAAACTGATGGTTTGCAGTTTTTTCTTCTCTGCTTGTCTGCCATTTTAAGCAGCATAGATGGGGGAGAGGGCAAGGGGAGGGAAAGGGGGTGAGTGTGGGTTGGAGAAGCATAATGGCACAGCAATTGCCCCAAACTGAAGCAGCAGCTAGGATTATAGGGTAAACCCCACCCAAATATTTTGTACTATCCTTCATAATAAAGATGGCTGCACCCACATTACCTGACTGGGAGCCTGTGTCATCCCCTTGTTCTTCTGTGAGGAGACCTTCCACCCCACTTTGCTCTTCATTATCCAGACCAGGAAAGAAAGCCTATCATTTGATGCTGCACATCTTTCTGAAGCTGGGGTCCACCCGCCTCTCTGAGGGTGTGTGTGTGTGTTTTTGTGTCTTCACAGACATCCAAGTTCTGAGCCTACATCCGTTCCAGCTCCATAAATGAGTCCATGCAGAAATGGGGCTCCATGCTTACACTGCTGTTCAGAAAATGGTCCATTTAATCACTAAACATACTGGTTGTCGGGGCAGTATTGAATTTCTTATTCTTATCCTTGGTTTTCCAATACTTCACCGTGAGCCCCTTTATCTTCTCCCTGCACTGCTGTCTAGTCTGCCTGATCCCGTGATCAGCCAGAAATTGCTGAGACAACCATCATGCAGTTCAATGTTCTTCTGTGAGGAGTTCAAGTCCTGGGTTTTACTCTCCTTGGCTGAAAGCTTCACCAAGATACTAGTGTGAGCCTCTGGCCAGGTGGCCCTATGCTGATACATAGGCTTATTACTGGGCATTCTTCTGCAGTATCCAATGGTGGAGATGAATGAAGCTGAAGAAACTGCAATTGGGCAAATAGTGTGATACTAGGGTGACCAGATAGCAAGTGTGAAAAATCAGGACAGGGGGTGGGAGATAATAGATGCCTATATAAGAAAAAGCACCAAATATCGGGACTGTCCCTATAAAATCGGGACATCTGGTCACCCTGTGTGAGACTGAGGACACTAAGCAGAAGCATACATAGGGAGACCGCTTCTGATTAAGGAGCAGAGCACAGGCCCCACTCCCAACACACCCTCCTGTTTCATGTACTGCACACTGGGTAATAAACTGAGAGGACTCTGCAGGTTTCTAAAATGAAATAATTCCCTAATAAAGAGTCAATTTAAAGGGATGCTGCAACTAGCATTCAAGCCATGTATATGCAGACCGGCTTCCTAGTGTTTTCTCCCAACTTTTTCCTCCTGCAGCCTGTGCTCCTCCCTCTAAGTTCCATGCTGGTTGCTAAATCTTTCCTTTTAACAATTGTTGTTATTGTGTGTCTTTTGTAGCAGTGTTTGCTGATTTACCAAAAATTACTAGTACATAGCCCACCATAGGCACCTGGCCTTTACCACCTGCTTGTTGTGGCCTATTAGCTTTCATATTCCTTCAAATGTGCTGATCTCCAACCAGTCTCCTATTTTTTGATTGTGTTATTGCTGTTGGTAGGGACTTGCTTCCATTCTGTTGCTGCCTTCATTCTGTTGGATGGTGTCCAGTTTGTCTCCCATATTGCTCATAAATAAGAGGCTAAATTTATGTCATGCCATGACATTTTCGTGAGACCTCTGTGACATTTTCTGCTTCAGCCCCTAGGGCTGCAGGACTGGAGCTGGCAGCCAGTGGGGCCCTGGCAGCGTGCCAGCAACAGGGGACAGGTGACAGCCTCCTCAGAGTCCCCTGCAGGTTTCCAGCGACAAGTGACAGCCTCCTCAGGGGGCCTTCCTCAGGGTTCCAGTGACTGGGGACAGCCTCGAGGGGAGTGTGGGGAGAGAGGAGAAAGAGACCCCTGCAGCTCCCAGTCACCACGGTGGCAGGGGAAAACCATGGAGCTGCATTTGGCAGGGGAAACCATGGAGCAGACAGACAGGTCATGGCTTCCGTTAATTTTTGTTCATTGCCCATGACCTGTCCATGACTTTTACTAAAAATAACCATGACAAAATCTTAGCCTTACTCATAAACCACTTTTCTGATGACTATCCTACATGAGGTCAGCTAAAGTTTGGGGGTTGTTCTATGTCCTTCTGCTCCTGCTTTGGCCCTGTCTGTCTGGGTGTGAAGGCTGTCTGCAGTTGTTTTCAGTTTCATCTCCACTGCTATCCTGAGCCTGTAGATATCACACATGACCTGTGTCCCACTGCAGCTTGGACTGTTGTCTTTTGCAATTGTTTTGTGTTGCTACTTGATGGTTGAACCCAGACCCATTCACTCGTGCATAGTGGTCTCAGGTCCTTGGCTCCTTCAGTGTAGCTAGTTGACTCCCTAGTTTGGCATTCTTTTAACTGCTTCTGTGTACTGTCTGTCATTCCTTCACTAGGCTGGAACAAGAGAACTCCTCAAGAAAAGCAGAGTCTTCGTTCTATAGTCCATCAGTCCCTACGCTATATAGTCTCTGGGAGGGTGTATTGAAATGGTCCAACATTGCCAAGTAGGAATTCCTTCCTGTCAATTTTGCCTTTGCCATCAATCTCTTGGCTGTCTTTACTGATGACTCTGCCTTCCTGTTTCTTTGTGAGACCCAGGGGAAGGTGTCTTGTGCTTACATTCCCATTTGGCACTGAATTGTTTGAATCCTGCTGCATTCAGTATTGTTGCCCATTGTCTGAACACCCTGTCTCAGGTATGCCATACTTTGCAAAATCAGCCTTCAGGAGTGGAGGGTGGGACTGATAGCTCAGTGGTTTGAGCATTGGCCTGCTAAACCCAGGGTTGAAAGCTCAATCCTTGAGGGGGCCATTTAGAGACCTGGGGCAAAAATTGGGGATTGGTCCTGCTTTGAGCAGGGGGTTGGACTAGATGGCCTTCTGAGGTCCCTTCCAACCCTGAAATTCTATGATTCTTGATGACAATTCTTTTGAGAGCGTCCTCCAGAAATTGTATGGCGGGCCATGAATGCTCACAAAATTGGGGTTGAGGTGTAGGAGGGGGTGAGGGCTGCTCCGGCTGGGGGTGCAGGCTCTGGCTCTGGTGCTGGAGATGAGGGGTTCAGAGGGTAGGAGGGGGATCAGGGCTGGGGCAAGGGGTTGCGGCGGAAGTCAGGGGTGCAGGCAGCGCTTACCTCAAGCAGCTCCTGGAAGTAGTGGCATGGCCCTCCTCTAGCTCCTACATGGAGGCGCGGCCAGGCGGCTTTGCGCACTGCTCCATCCGCAGGCACCTCCCCTGCAGCTCCCATTGACCACGATTCCTTGGTGCGGAACCCCCTGGCTGCCCCTACGCATAGGAGCTGCGGGGGAGGACATGCCACTGCTTCTGAGAGGTGTGCAGAGCCATGGTGCGCGGAGCGGGGCAAGCCCCAGACCCCGGTCCCCGGCGGGAGTTCAAGGGCTGGATTAAAATGTCTGATGAGCCGGACATGGCCCACGGGCCATAGTTTGCCCATCCCTGTGTTAAAGGGTTTGGGATCAATTAATGATAGAATCATTCCATTCCAGAGAGCACACACTAGGCAGTCAGCCCTAGGGAAGTGAAGCAGTGGGACACACCAATCCCAGTGCTAGGGCAGGGAGAAGCGCAGAGGGAACTATCCCAGCACCTCTGCTCCCAGTGGAAAGCCCCAGCATCTGGGTGCAACCCCCCTCCCCATTGCTGCCTCGTCTGGGCCTCCCTTCCCAGCCATCAGTGCCAGGACTCCAACAGGGGCTGCCAAATGGGGCTGGGATGCAGGCAGCGCAGCCTGTTGCCCCCTATGCAGGTGGCGGCTCCCCTGCCACAGGGCTGCCGACTCTGCTGTTTTGGGCATGGATGGGAGGGGAGGCAGAGGCTGCTGGGTCTCTGCTCAGCGCCAATTATACACACTGTGCAAAGGTATATAGGGCTGTGGCTGCCACTGCTGTAGTATCTCCTCTTGTTGTCGATCACTGTACTCTGAGCAGATCTTTGCACACCTGGATCTGCAAAGTTCTTAACTGGACACTTATGCCTGACCAGCAGATATACTCTGTGGGTCATCTCAGGCATGTTTCCATACCCAGGTGTGACACGTGTAACCATCTCATGATGTCAGCTCTTAAATATGCTGGGATTACTGCTTGGTCCCCTGTAAGCAAAATCCCATTTTGTGTATACAGCTCGTCCCTCACCTAGTAGTAAAGGTCTGGTGGCACTTGTTTCTTGCAATGTGGCCAATCCTGGAGAATAAATTGTTTCACTGCTGGCAGCATCTCATCATGTCTGGTGCTTTGTTGGATTGCCGGGAGTCTCCCATTAGATGTGTGACAGTATTGTAGCATGTTGATAGTCTATCTATCTCCTATTCCACAAAGCCATCTGTACTGTACTCTTGAAGGTATGCTCTGCTCAGTGTATCTGCCACCCATTGGGACTTTTCTGGACAGTACCTTATCCTCGCCTCATAATGCTGGAGTCTCAATAACATGTGTTGTAGTCACTTGGGTGCACTCAGCAGTGTCTTTATGTTGCTTTCTGATGGCTTATAATTAGACTGCATGTCCACCTTGTGCCCAAAAGGGAACTGATAGAATCATTCCATTCCAGAGAGCACAGCCATTGGTTTCTTTGCTATCTGAGCATATCCCATTTTTGGGTCTGTTAGGGCTCCACTAGCAAATGCTATGCAAAGCCAGCAGGCCATCGGTGCTGCTCCTAGGCCTCCTTCTGAGGCCTCACACAGTA